TAAATTTGTAAATGAATATAATTAACAAAGAAATTCTAACTCAAGTACAGGATTACATTTATTTGGCATCTACTCCATTAACGTCTAGTGTTGAAAAACCATTGTTAATTGTGTGCGCACTGTTAATTAACTCAACATGTTTAATGGTTGTTTTCTTAAATAACTAGTAGGCCACATGTAAATGATCTTTCAAGCATTCACATTTCATTTTGTAAGAGTAAAACCACAGGACAGATTGCTCGACGCATTAGGTTGAACGCGGCCCATGGCTCCCTTGTGCTGTCTTAGGGAAATGGAAAACCCTCCTCACCACCTCAAGCGAATGCCCATACAAACCCAGAGGGGCCAACATTCCTACACTTGGAAATATTACCACATTGTCAAAAGAGCAGCAGATCTGCAATGTAAATTGTGAAACATATGTTGATTCCGTTTTTCCTGTAACAGTAAACTCAGCATTCTTTTAAGCTCAGAAACAAAAATCGTGACATCTAGCACTACCTGTACACGGGATGGGTGCTGGGGCCAGTGCTGCCTGCAGTGTGGGCATCCCATATAGGTACCAGTTCATATCCTGGATGCTTCATTTCTGATCCAGCTCTCTGCTAGGGCCTGGGAAAGCAGTAGAAAGATGGCCCAAGTCCTTGGGCCCCTGTACCCGTGTGGGAGACCAGGAAGCTGCTCCTGGATCCTGGCTTTGGATTGGCACATCTCCGGCCATTGAAGCCATCTGGGGAGTGAACCAGCAGATGGAAGAGCTCTCTCTGTCTGTCTCTGTCTGCCTCTGCCTCTGCCTCTTTGTAACTCTGCCTCTCAAATATAGATACATCTTAAAAAAAATAAGGGGGGATGGGTGCCTTTTTCCATTTCACTCTCATAAAGGTCCTACAATTAATCGGTTTATCATCCCATTTTATATACCCAGGCAGGTAACATTCAGTTTCCCAGGGTCACACACCTAGTGTAGTAGCCACTAGGGACACTTGGTGAACATTTCCTATTTCCTGTTCATCTAAGTGGGATGGCCAGCAGTCTCCTTTTGTGGTCATAGCTTAAAACAACTAATTACCCAGGCTGAAACTGTGGTGCACAGAGTTAAGTTGCAACCTGTGGTGCCAGCATCCCATGTGGGAGCCGGTTTGTATACCAGCTGCTCCACTTCTGATCCAGCTCCCTGTTAATGCACCAGGGAAGGCAGCAGCAGATGACCCAAGTCCCTGGACCCCTGCGCCCACATGGGAGACTAGAAGAAGCTCCAGGCTCTTGGCTTCGGATTGGCCCAGCTCTGGCCGTTGTAGCCACTGGAGGAGTGAACCAGTGGATGAAAGGTGTCTCTCAGTCTCTCTCCTTCTCTTAAAAACATTACCCCACTTCTTGCTTGTTGAGCATCTGTCAGAGACAGAAGATTCATTCTTCAGCACACCTGGAAAACTCCTTCTGTAATCTTGCTTGGCATCATGTGTATTGAAACAGATGTTTTAGTCTGCTCAGGAGACAGGAGGGTGTGTTTTTGAATTTTGTGGTTATTTTGTTTTGTTTTACTTACGATGCAGGGAGGCACCATGGTGAATCTAGAGGAAGGAAAGAGGGTGTGTGTGTGTGTGTGTGTGTGTGTCGAGAAAAAGATGAGCAAGTGCATGAGCAGGACCAAGTCAGAACTAGAGATGTGTAGAGCAGCACGCAAGAAAAGAACTGCACTACATATGAGGGCTCTTGGAAAATGAATCTAATGAGAAAACTATGCATGGAAATAATAAAAGGTTCTGTAGCAAAACAAAAGAAACATCTAGGTATACTTGCAACAAAATATGCAAAATCTCTATGAGGATCACCACAAAGCTCCTAAAAAAGTCTCAAGGAAGAATTAAACATTTGGAGACACATTCTATGGTCATGGATTGGAAGACTCATTCTAGCCCAGATAGCTGTATTTCTTCACTTGATAGACCAACGCAGTCTTAATCAAAATCCTATCAACAGGGCCAGTGCTGTGGCGTAGCGGGTGCTAGCATTCCATATAGGCGCTGCTTCAAGTCCTGGCTGCTCCTCTTCCAATCTAGCTCTCTACTATGGCCTGGGAAAGCAGTAGAAGATGGCCCAAGTGCTTGGGCCCCTACCATCTGTATGGGAGAATCAGATGAAGGTTGGGGCTCCTGGCTTCAGATCAGCACAGTTCCAGCTGTTGTGGCCAATTGGGGAGTGAACCAGCAGATGGAAGACCTCTTTCTCTCTCTCTCTCTCTCTCTCTCTCTGCCTCTCCTTCTCTGTGTAACTCTTTGAAATAAATCTTAAAAAAAAATCCTATCAACATGTTTTACAATTACCAAACTGATTTTAAAATGTATGTGGGGATGAAGATACCCCGAAGATCCCACCTCCCATAATTGAAGATGAACATATTGGAGGATTGACGTGTCACAGCTTCACTAACTTAAGAGACAGCCAGTCATGGCAATGTGGGACTGGTGAGAGTCAGAATGGTAACCCCGGAAAAGACCTTCACGAATACAGTTATCAGATCTTTGACAAGAAAGCAAAGTGATACAAAGGAGAAAATCTTAAGAAAGAGCACCAGGTTTGTGAAATCTCCATTCCAGGAGAGGGCAAAGGACTGTCACCAAAGGCAGGTGGCTTTCAATGGAGACGGATGTCTGCAGGTCACCCTGCACATGGCTGACCAGGGGAGGATGGTTCGAGGCCATAGGCAGCAGGAAAGTCTCTAGGTGTGCGTTCCCATTAGTAACACTGTTTAGGGCATGCGCCTGGACAGGTGGATGCCTGCACATCTCTGAGTACACTGCGGTCCACCCAGGAAGCCAGGGCAGAGCAGGGAGCACAGGACAGGCTTGACCTGGACAGGGGCCTTCCCATCCACTTTGCCCGCCCTGTAGCAACCTTGCCTGCAAGCTCATCATCAGGCTCACATCTTCCCCCAGATAAGGAGCAGAAGAAGTAGGTGAAGACTCCAAAATATGGCCTTATGGTTCCCAGGAACAAGAGGACCAGCCTCGAGCACTGGAGAACAGGAGCAGGCTCAGGACTGGCCCATGGCTGTGGCTCCCCACCCTGGAGAGATGAGTCATCAGCACAGTAGCCACTTGTCACCCTCTATCTCGTCAGCTTCTGGCCTCAGTGTGATTCTGCAAAAAGCACCCTGTGGGGACCAGCGATTCTGAGCCCTTGGGGTCCTGCCAGTGACACAGCCATGGCTCATTCAAGAACGGAGTACAGAGTGGTCAACTCCAAACCAGACTCAACAGCTAGAGAATCCTAGGCCTTCCAGACCCAGGGGAAAATGGCTATGGCCTAACCTGCCCCATTGGGATGACCCAGGTGGCTTCTGATGAACAGGGCCTAGTCGCCTTTTGGAGGTCGTGTGGGTTGAGGAAGAGGCTACAAGTGTCAGGGACCCTTGGAGAACTGGGATGCTCTCTCTGCCCAAGGTAGGGTTCCAGACTCCTTCCCTGTGGATCCTCCAGGCCAGGAGCCTCTGAGCCAGGAGTCTCTTCTCCCAACGTCAGGGGACACATTCTCCATGCTAATGACCCCTAGTGACAGCATGACCTGGAGAAGCTGAACCCACTGTGACAGCAGCCCAGGAGGCCTGAGCTGCTAGAGGGCATGTGGGCATCTGGCCAGCCAGGTGTGCCACCAGGACCACCTGGACATTCTGGGGCTGCCTCCACCCACTGGCATCCTGGTCTGTGGTCAGAAGTGCCCTGGGTCCTCTTGCAGGCTCAGGCCATGAGATGCTGGATTGTGAGATGGGGCAGGGAGGAAAGAAGAGTGGGAACCTGGTGCCCACACACCCAGGACAGTGCACAGAGGTGATCATGGGCCTGGTCCCTTGGCTGGGCCCACACTCCTGAACTGTCCCAAAGACCACATGTACCCAGCCACTGCTGCTCCTCCAGTTTTCCCCTGGTCCACGCTGGGCACAGGTCAATCTCAGGAAGTGATGGAGCACCCCGAGCCGGGTCTCTGACTGCATCTGGAGGCTGTGGCACCTCCAGCCTCTTGCAAGGGACTCAGGGACCCTGTGTGGCAGCTCGGCTCCAGGGGTCACAAAATCAAAGGCATTCTGAAACAATTTAATACACAATCAACAAGGGGCAGAAGTTCCCGAGGGTTCCTTCACAAAGGCGGGAGGGGTATGTGGCAGCCCAGGTGCCTGGGTTCATGTCCTATCTCATCTCCTGCTCTGAGGGTGCCCATAGCAACTGTGGCAGTGGACTGGCTCCTTGGCCGAGATGAGCCAGCGTGAGGCCACTCAGGGAGGGGGAGAGGAGCTCCAGAGAGGAGCCTTGTCAATTGGGGAGGCCACCAGGCATAGAGAAGCTAGATGCTGGCCAGTTGAGCTAGGGTGAGGAAGCTCAGGGGGGAGAGGAGCTGCAGAGAGGAGCCTTGTCAGGCGGGAGGTGCTGGGCATAGAGAAGCTAGGCTTCTGGCCGAGTTGAGCTAGGGTGAGGAAGCTCAGGGAGGGAGAGGAGCTCAGAGAGGAGCCTTGTCAGGCGGGAGGTGCGGCATAGAGAAGCTAGATTCTGGCCGAGTTGAGCTAGGGTGAGGAAGCTCAGGGAGGGAGAGAGGAGCTCCAGAGAGGAGCCTTGTCAATCAGGGAGGCGCGGCATAGAGAAGCTAGATGCTGGCCGAGTTGAGCTAGGGTAAGCTCAGGTGAGGGAGAGGAGCTCCAGAGAGGAGCCTTGTCAATCAGGGAGGATGCCGGGCAGAGAAGCTAGATGCTGGCCGAGTTGAGCTAGGGTGAGGAAGCTCAGGTGGGGGAGAGGAGCTCCAGAGAGGAGCCTTGTCAATCAGGGAGGATGCCGGGCTAGAGAAGCTAGATGCTGGCCGAGTTGGCTAGGGTGAGGACTCAGGTGGGGGAGAGGAGCTCCAGAGAGGAGCCTTGTCAATCAGGGAGCCGGCAAGAGAAGCTAGATGCTGGCCGGTAGCTAGGGTGAGGCAGCTCAGGGGGAGAGAGGAGCTCCAGAGAGGAGCCTTGACCATCAGGGAGGCCGGCGGCATAGACAAGCTAGCCTCCTTGGCTGAGATGAGCAGGGTGAAGCCTCAGGATGGGGGAGAGGAGCTCCAGAGGAGCCTTGTCCATCGGGGGCCGCTGTGCTCAGACAGCCTAAGCTTCTGGCCCGTCTGAGCTGGACACCTGGTGGGCTGTTCTTCCCCTCCAGGTGCCCACACACATCCAGCTCCTCCATGGAATGGGCAGCAAGGAGGCCTCGAGCCAGGGAGGGCACACAGGCCTGGTCTCCCAGTGCAGAGCTGGCTCCTGCAGGCTCCAGCCCGTGAGTGTCCCCAGAGTGCATGGGGCTCCCATGCAGGGAGGGCATCTTCAGCCTTGCTCCCAGGGCTGGCACAGCCTGCATGGGCCCGGGATCCAGGGGCTCTGAGGCAGGTGGGGGAGGGGCCCTGAGACCCTGCTGGCCACCCAGCTCCAGGGGCCAGAAATCAGCGCCTTTGACAGGCGGGCTGAGATTTGGGAGGCCCCCCCATCGGGATAGGTCTCCCCTGCTCTGCAAGCTCTGTGGGGCCAAGAGGCCTGGGCCACGCAGAGACTCTGAGGACTTCACAGACAGGGCTGGGGACGAGGGCTCTGGGGAGGCACCCTCTTCACAGCCTCCCTCCTCGTCCTCTTCAAAAATTGTCTCGGGCAGGACGAATCTCAGGTCCCGAAGCAGCTTTGGCCAGGGAGACGCAGGACACTCAGCAGCCTGGTCTTCCTCCTCTTCCTCCTCCTCTTCGTCGTCTTCCTGCTTCTCCAGGCCGCTGTAGTACTCCTCGTCCTCAGAGTCGGAGTCATCTTGGAAGGTCACGTTGAGTTTGGTCAGGGAAGTCCAGCGCCGGAGGGGGCCTGGCTCGTCCAGCCAGGAGCACTGTGGGCCCGAGAGGTGGGTGGCGCCCCCTGACCCTGAGGCCCCCGTGGAGGAGCCCTGGCCGCGGGGCTGGGTGCTGCTCTTGCCACGACTGCCCTTCTCCTCCTTGGTGTGTTGCTTGGAGTCGGGCTGGACGGCAGATCCGAGAGGACCGGTCTCCTCGGGGACAGAAGCTGAAGCCCCCGCTGGCTCCTGGGGAGCTGCAGCAGCAGGGTGACAGCCTTTGCTCTCCGCAACGATGGTCTTGATGGACACTGGTGGGGGAGCGCGCTCCTGAGAGCCAGGCGGCACCTGCAGGGCCGGGCTGCCATCTTCGGTTGGCTTATCTGGAAAAAGAACAGATGGGTTTAATTTCTCCACGGCCACCATCTGGCCTGCAGGGTGCCTGCCCTGACCTGACCCTTGGGGTCCCCATTACTCGGTGTGATGCTCAGGACACCTCCAGCCTGCTGGCCGCAGAAGGAATGGTGCATGCAGCCTGGGCCATGGGAATGACAGGGACACCTCTGGTTCTCCCCTCAAAGCCCACAGACTGGACAGTCCTTGAGCCCCCCACCTCACTCTCTCATCTCTGGAGACTGCTGGCACCAACTCAGGACCCCATTACCTACCCCACCTGAAATCCTGGGCCCTAACAGTGCATTGGCTGAGTTACCCGCATCTGAGTCCCTCCTCAATTGTAGGAAGGGAACTGAGCCTAAGATGATGGGGTGAGAGCTGGGGCTGTGGGGCAGACATGGGGTCTGGCCAGGCCCTCGGGGACAGGGAATGTGGTTTCCAAAGAGGTGGCAGGGGTTCCCTGTGTCCTCTGCCCCTGGGCCACAGTCCCTTTCCCGGTGAAACTGGGCTGTCATTGCTTCTGTCTCACGAGCACCCAGGGGAGGCAGCACCTGGAAGCACAGTGGGGACTTCCCAGTGTCTGAACAGGCTGCCCCTGGGCCCCCACTGCCAGCCTCTAGAGCTGGGACAAAGCCATCTCTGCTCTGCATGGGGACCCAGGTGCTCAGGTCCTTGTCAGCAGGGGACAAGAACGGGGACCCCTCTGCACCAGAGCCCAGAGGCCACTGCTGCTCCGGGTCCTGCTGACTTCTGTTGGCCCAAGGCTAGGACTGCAGAGCCCACACTCAGCTGAACTTGGGTTCTGCCGTGGGGGCCCCAGCGCCTGCCTCTGCGCCCACCCTGCTCACAGGAGTGGACTCGGCCCCCACTACTGGGTTCAGGGCACGTGGGCCTTCCAGGGGTCCTCAGATGGCTGAAGGGGATCCAGTGCCGGCTGGACCACCCCGCAGGAGGATCCAGGGAAGCTGCCCGAGGCCCCGCCAGGCCATGCTGTCAGAAGCTCCTGAAAGCAGAACTGCTGAGCCCAGGGAGGACAAGGAGGACTAGGAAGAGGTGAGTCCCTGGGTGGGGCTGCCAGGGCCTGGCACTCCCACTACTGACTCCCCCAAGGGAGCATGGGACGGGGCCGTGTGCTGGACTCACCTTCGGGAGGCAGGAGGCACTGCAGCTTCCCCAGCTCACGCATGGAGGCCCGCAGCTGCCTGATGACTGCATCCTCGCTCAGTGACCAGGCCTGCTTCAGGGTCACCTGCAGGAACTCCCGGATGTGGTCCCTGGACATCTTCATCAGGCGCTCTGGACATGGGGGTGGGTGTCAGGCTAGGAGGAGCCCTAGGCATGGCTGCAGCCACCATGGCTGCTCCAACCCTCGTTTCTGCTGCAACCCCTGACCCTGGCCCTGTCCCCCACTTGCTGGCCCTGAGGCTCAGCCTCAGCTTGGACCACCCTCAGCAGGACAGGGCCTGCCTGGTCTGCACAGCAGGCTCCTTCCTGTGTCTGCTGGGCCTGGGGAAGCTCAGCCCTGCTCAGAGTCACAGGCCACCAGGTCAAGAGAGCCAGGCAGTGGGGAAGGAGCGCATGCAGGAACTCCTGGATGTGGTCCCGGGGCATCTTCAACATGGGCTCTGGACATGGGGGTGGGTGTCAGGCTGGGAGGCGCCATTTTTGGGGGTTGGGGATGAAACGGGATTCGCAATGCCCCCTAAGCTGGCCAAGAACTCAGAAAACTCGTCCCTCCCCTAGGTTCTGCTCACCCGGGCCAAGCATGGGACCCCCCCAACTCCTCCATCCCCAGCACCCAGGCCACTGTGGGCCCTGAGGACTTACTTCGGTGGACCTTGAGGACGGTGTACACCATGCCGGTGAGTACGTGCGCGCCCTCAAGGATGTAAATGTCGAACATCCGAAGTGCCAGGGGGAACGGCACCTGGGGGACAGAGGCATTGGAGGACCCCGCGCATCAGGGCCTCAGCAAGGCCCACAGTGGGTGGGTGTGCAGTGTCATAGGGCATCCTAGCTGTGCCCTCGAAGCCCAGAGAGAAAGAGCACCAAGGCCTATCCAGGACCCTGGTGCCACCCAGACTGCTCTGCACACTTTGGAAGCCACCCTGGAGATGCCAGACAGCCCAGGGACCTGGGGGAGGGGTCAGCCCTTGGGCTGTGCTGAAACCAGCCTGTGGCACCCAGGGTCTATGGATCTGCCTGCCTCTCACTGTAGGGCTCTGGCCTTTGCCAGGCTCTCAGGATGGGTCCTGGTGGGACCTGTCCCCTCCTTGCTGTCCCTGAGGCTCAGCCTCAGCTTGGACCACCCTCAGCAGAGCAGGGCCTGCCTGGTCTACACAGCAGGCTCCCTCCTGTGTCTGTTGGGGCTGGGAGAGCTCAGAGTCAGAGGACCACCAGGTACAAGAGAGCCAGGTACTGGGGCAGGAGCTTCCCTGGGCAAGGGGTCCCCGGGGCACTTACCCCATCCAGGAAGCACTGGATGTACCAGTGGGCGGTGTAGTCCTCAAGGCACACACCCTCCTTCTCCTGAGAAGAGGCAGAGGGGGCTCAGCGCCCAGGGCCCAGGGCCCAGGGCCCAGGCCTGACTCCCTCTAATCTGAGCCCTGTGGCAGAGCCCCTGGGTGCAGGAAGCCCAGCAGCAGGTGCATCCCCCCTCCCAGCGATGCAGATTCCTGAAAGGACACAGGTCCTCAGTCCACTCTACCCTGGGGACAGCATCTCCCTTCAATCTACACAAACTCTGGGGGAACAAGTGGTGGAAAACACACCAACACCCAAGCTGCCATAGACCCCAGTAACAAGGAAAGTCTTGGTGAGGACGTAGCCTCCCCGGCCCAGGAAGCAGTCAGGACCCCTCTCTGTCCTCCCCTCCCTCAGCACAGAGCCCCCGAGGGGAGAAAGGAGATGTTTACTTACCAGGTGTTTCTCCAGGGAGGGGAGCACGCGACGCATGATAGCTCCCAGGTGGTGCTGGAATTGCTCCAGTTTTGGGGAGTCCGGTGTGTAGAAATCTGAGTAATAGCAACCCCCCGGCCCTCACTTCAGAGTGTCTTCCCGGGAAGGCTGGAAAGCCAAAGGCTTGGGGCGGGATCTTTCTGAACATGGAGGGTCAGGGGAGGCTCTAACAGGCAGGGGAAGGGGGGTACAGCTGACAGCCCAGGGCAGGCTGCCTAAGGTGACCTCTGGGCTGACTGCAGTCACACTGGGTGCCTCAGGGCCATCTGGACACTCAGGGTGAGGAGGGGTCACCCTAGAATGGATGCTCCTTCTGCAAGGGTGTGGCTCAGTGGGTGGGAGTCTGAGTAGAGATGTGAAGCAGTAAGGCCAGTAGAGACCTAAGGGTCATTTGTCAAAGACAAGGCACAGGACCTTTGTGTGATGGGAAGTGAGGGGTATGGCTTGGTATTGGGCCCTCTGCCGGCCCTGGCTTCTAAGGAAAGCATTCTGAGGGAGACTGCCCTATGCACGCAGCAGCCAGTGAGGGACAATGTCCCAGTCACTTGTCTGCATGCCCATCCCTGCACTTGCAGGACCACGCCCACCACACCCATCACCCACCATGCATCGCGTGCTGGCTGTCCCCCATGAGCTGGACTAGTGCCCAGAAAGCATCCTCTTCACTCAGCCACATCAGCAGCAGGGCTGCCACGTGGCTTAGGCCCTGGCTGTAGCCCAATTCCTGGAAGAACACAAAACACATCAGAGGGACCTCCCTGGCTGGGATGATCTCACGTGGCAAGGGTGACCTCTCCTGGGAGAGCTGAGCATTACCACCAGGCCCCACTGCTGCCCCTTGGGTGTCAGGATCTCTCAAAGTTCCTGGAGAGAATCCTGCAGGGTCTGAGCGCAGGCTGTGCAGGGTTAAGAAGAGGTATGAGCCCCACCCCAGATGTCAGGAAGGGGAAGACTGTTGTGGGAGTGCAGACTGCACACCCGTGATGGCCTCTGGAGCTCTCTGCTGCACAGGTGCCCTGCTGGGCCCCACTGCAGACGTGAGGAAGAAGCACCATAGTAAGGCCTGCCTGGGCCAGAACAGAGCCCAGCCCAGGAGAAGGCTTCCGTTCTGCCCCAGAACTTGAGGTTGGGGCCAAGGAGGCCATGAGCTTGAACTCTACCCCTCAGTCTCTGCCTTGTGGATTAGAGAGGCCCCCTCAACCCAGGCTAGGATTTCTGTGACCAGGGGCACCCTGCATGGACAGCTCTGGATATGACCTTGGAACGTTATCGCAGAATACTCACGGGGTTGTACATTGAGTATGCGAGGAGCACCTCAAATAAGGAGCGTTGTCTGGAAGAGAGAGGACAGAGGCTGTGCGTCCAGTGCTGCCGAGGCTCTCAGTGTGGCTCTGCCTAACAGAGCCTGACAGCCACACGCAGGGCCCTTGATACTCTGCTCATGAGCAGTCCACCGTGTGGATGAGTGCTGCCTGCAGGGACATGCACATCTCCCAGGGTGCAGTCATGTGCAGTTTCGTTTCCCCAGGTGGGTGTTCATTGCAGAGGTGAGCGTCCCACTGTGGGAAGTGCAGTCCCGTGGGTCTAAGCCATGGAGAGTCAGCCTCCCATGCACGTTCATTCTGATAGGGAGCAGCTCCTGTGGCCTATCTGTTCCCCATGAGCCTCTGTGGCCAAACTCCCCACCTCCCCCAGCCCGTGGCCACCACTGCCCTGTTGTGTGTCCCGGATTTGGCCTCTTGCAGACGTCCTGTGAGTGGATCACAGCACGTGTAGCCTTTGAGGGACGCTTCCTCTCTTAGCAGGATGCACCTGAGATGCATCCAGGTGAGCCCAGGGCCGAGCCTCGTCCTGCCTCTCACTGAATCCCGTTCTCGGATTCAGCTGTGACACGGGTTGCTTATCCGTTTCCCCACTGAGCATCGTGCAGGCTAGTCCTGTGTCCAGTGACTGTGAACACAACCCTGAATCTTGCGTGAGGGTTTTATGCACTCAGCTGTTCTGGTGGTTGTGTAAATGTGCGTGTGTGCTGGGGTTCGTGTGGAAGGTGTGTGTCTCTCATTGTGAGAAATGGCCCTGGGTGCTGCTGGGGGCCTGGGCACTGTGCTCTGTTCCTGCAACGAACCGGAATTGCGCTCACCTCACGTTTTCCCCAGCACCCGGCGTTCAGTGGTCTTAGTTCCCCCATTCTCACAGCTGTGCGCTGGTGCCCCGTTGTGGTTTAGGTGCTAAGCATGTTTTCACGCGTTGAGTAGGAGAGTTGTGTGTGCCATCATGCAGGGGCCCTCCTGAGCCTTGGCCCATGTCAGGGCAGGGAACCCTCATTTGCTTTCTTATAATTGAGATTTACAAACTTCATTTTCTGTATTTTGTAAATACTGTCTCCCCTTGTGTTCCTTTTCATTTCATTCCCACCAAAGTGTCTTTGGGAAAGCAAACTGTTCAGTATAAATAGAAGGCCATGGATCCATTTTTTTCTGTCCAAGAGGAATTATGCTTTAGGTGTGAGCCCACGTCTCTCCTAGGACCCCATGTGTCCCAGGACCCTTGCATCTCCCTCCCCCAGGGCCCCTCCAGCCCAGAGGCCTCACTTGGCTCCGTATCGCTCTCGAAACATGATGTGACTTCTGAACGTGCGTGCTACATCTTCATCGATCTGTTGGACTTGATCTGAGCACAACCTGGCCCGTTCCTTCATCTCCTGCAGGGCAGGGCCGAGGCGGGGGGGGCAGCCTCAGGACGAGCCAACCCCCACTGTCACACAAGCACCCCAAAGCCACATCAGCTCTTCTGGTTGGCAGGGAGAGTTCCCCTTGAGGGAAGCTCATTCCCCTGATCCACGGAGGGTCATGGGTTCCCCACTCACCTTAGTGTCCACGCCACCCCCAGTGCCCAGCAGAGGGGCCACTGCGGACCCGCTACAGTCAGCCTGAGGCCAAGGGCTCTGCCAATGTCCTTCTGTGCTACCTCTGCCTTCCCAGAGCAGGAGAGACTGAATCAGGCCTCCGAGCCTCCTCACTGGGCTCTCAGGCCCCACAGGACAGGAGTCAGCCTCACCCTGACCAGCCTTCAGGGCTGCCCCCTGCAGGAGAGCCCCAGCTCCATCAAGAGAGTGGACACCCTTCTTGGACTTGGAGCTGGCCCCAGGGGCAGCCCCCACTTGAAGACTTGGGCGAGGGCGGGGCTGGCGGCTCAGTTGCTCCTTGCTCCCTGATGTCAGCCAGGGAGGTGACAGCCCGGGGCCAGCCCTCTGATGGATCAGCCCTCATTCCCAGAAGCAGTTGAGAGCTGACTCTGACGGATGGAACCAGCAGGCCAGGTGGGGGCTGGGTGAGCTGAGGCCAGGCCAGGCATGAGAAGGCCCAGGTGAGGGCAGGGCCCGGCGAGCATAACAAATGCACAAGCAGGGTCAGGTGTGGGGAGGGCCGTTAGGGACAGAGCCAGCTGAGGGCCCTAGCACACAGGACTTCCACCTCATTCCAGGCCGTCTCTATCCATTCAGGACCCAGCACAATGGCACTGGGCAGTCCTGGGCCTAGAGGCAAGGCGGAACCACAGGGATGAGGGCTGTGGCCCTGACCGGATCCTTGTGTCCAGGCCCATTTGTGTGTGGGGAGACATGGAGGAGGCTTCTGGGGAGACGTGGATGAGGCAGAGGGGAGGGCCGGGTGGGGGCCCCAACCAAATGACCACTCCTCCTTGGCATTACTTGTCCACCACACGGGAGCCTTGCGCTCCTGAGCAGGCCCGAGCGGGTCGGCCTGCCTCAGATTGCACGCAGAGCCATACCTCGAATTTGCCAGGGTTCTGGGCCTTCCTGGTATCCACGGAGAGCAGCATGGCCCACACCTTGCCACGCACCTGGGCAGGGATGCCTTTCTCAATTCTCCGGTGGAACTACAGGAGAGAGGAGGCTCTGGTGAGACCCGCCCCAGGCCCTCTGTTGGGGGGAGCGTAGGGTGAGACAGCAGGAAGGGGAGCCCTGGGCTCTGTGCTGTGTCCGCAGATCTGCCTGGACCTGGGCCTCCTGACCCAACAGTGAGAGGAGGGCCGAGGGCTCAGTGCAGGCTCTGTGGTGCACTCACTGCCCACACAGGGCACCAGGAACTGTGCCTGCCCTGCATCTGGGAGTGGCCCCAGGGGAGACTGGATCTTCTACTGCGACAGTGTCCTGGGTGCAAGGGCATTGGGCTGAGATGACCTGTGTCCTTTCAGGGCAGGACAGTTGTGTCTGAGAGGCACAGCAATGGGCACTGTCCATCCCAACTCCACCCCCAGTGGTCCCCAGGGGCCCTCAGGTCCAGGTACCTTCTCACTGCTGCGGTACTTGGTGAAATTTCGCAGCATCTTGTTCCATTTTTGCAGTCGGCGGCCCTCCTGATGTTTACGCTGGGAATGGAGACAGGATGGTGTGAGCTCAGCAGTGTCCTCTGGAGGAGGGAGGCCACGGGTGCAGCTCAGGAGGCTGTGGACAACTCAGCTGGGAGGAGCCAGCAAAGGGGCAGACCACAGCACCCAGACCTTCCAACTAGGGGAGCCTCAGGGGCTTGAGTATAAATAAAAGGACAAGCATCCTCAAGCTAGTCCCATGTCATCCAGGAAAGTCGGTCACAGTGGCCCACAGGCAGGGACCCAGAGCTGCAGGCCTGCACTGGGGTATGTGGGCCTCAACAGATCTCCTGGGGACTGCTGTCCCTGGAGGACCATATGGCACTCCTCTAACCACTGCCCATACCCACAGGCCTGCTAGTTCTGCCTCCTAGATGAAGAGTCCATGGCCAAGGTCAGCTTACCCATTGCACTGCCAGGCATCCATGCCTGGGCGGCTTCTGCTTACTGAAAAGCAAGAGTGACAACACCATGAGAATGGGCACTGAACCAAGCATGGTCCACTTCCCCAGCAAGGCTGGTAGAAGACCTGTGTCCTCCTCACCCTGCTGAGGCACAGCCCAGTGCACAGAGAAGGGCAGGGATGGGGCAGCCATGCTGCAGGCAGACACCCAGCAGGGGCTGGGGCTTGAGGCACCTGGGACCACCACACCCCCAAGGTTATCCCCCACCCACCTTCCCCACTATGCACTGGCCACCTGAGGTGCCTGCTCCCCACCTCACCCTCCTCTGTTAGCCCAGACCGTGGCCATCTCTCTACCCTTGGCTCCTGCTTTTTCTCCAGGTTCTGGGCACAACATGGAGCCAGAACCCCCTATCCCATGCTAAGGTGGGCTGCTCAGTCATGCCAAAGACGGCCCGAGATGGCTCATCCCTCTAGATCACCGGAGCCTACCCTCCAGACATGGGGCTGCTCTCCCTGACATCTGTTGGAACAGCCTCCAATCTGACTCCTGCCCGCAGGCCCCACTCCTCCCAGCACAGACCCGGGGCTGGGCCCTCAGCTGCACCCTCCCTGTGGTCTGTACTGTGGGAGCCTGCAGGCAGGCTGAGAGCTGCAGAGGCCACACCGCTGGCCATCTCTCAGACTAGGTCTTAATAAGCCTTTAGCCTAGCCCTGAGGCTGAGGCCCCTGTTGGACAACTGCCCACCTGCTAGGCTGGTGCCCCAACCCTGTGGACACAGCTATGGGGTGGCGATGGCCAGGCTGTGTCCCTTGGGAGCAGGGCAGGACCCTCAAGCCACCACCTCTACTTAACATGAACAGATGCCTCAGAGTAAGAGTGCCAGTGTCTACCCTACAGCCAGCCCTTTCCCATCCTGCATTCTTGAGTCACAGGGTCACTCGGCTCTGCCCGTATACTGACCTGTGCCTGCACTGTGACAACAGCTTGGATCAAGGAGGGGGCCTGGGGACAGGTGTGCTACCTAATGGCGGGGTTTATGACCCTGGTCCCTCCCCTGGGTGGATCGGGGTGCAGAGGACTCACCACAGGAAGCCAAGTTTGTCTGGGACGAGGGCTCCACTCTCATCGTCCTCTTCTCCCAGGTGAAACTGGGGCCATTTACGGGGACCCTGCAGGGGAGAGGGGACCCAGGTGAGAATCCCGGGTCTCAGCCACTGGGGGAGCTGAGCCACCCTCCTGCTGTGTCCCCAGGGAGGTGGGGTCTGGCTCTCACAAGCACAGTACTTGAGGCAGGGTCCTACCTCCTCCCCCAGCACCCTGGCCCGTACCTGCTCATATTTCAAGATGATTGCTGCTCGCTCCTGGGCCCTGCCGGACCTCAGGGCGTCCATATCCAATCTGTAAGACACACACGCACTTGTGAGCCAGTACAGGGGAGCCCACGGGAACTGTTGCCCCGAGGTCTGTCCCCCTGGTCAGAGGGGGGACAGCCACAAAGCCAGGTGGGCGGGCACCTGGTGGTCGGGTCCCAGGAGGATGACTTGTTCAGAGCACAGGGACTAGGGATGGTTGGGGAAGGACAGCCCCCACCTTGCCTCCCCTGCCCTCAGAAAGGATGCTCCTCCCCCAGCCTGGCATCCACGTGTCCTCCAGGGAGCCCAAGTCTCCCTGGCCCGCTCCCAGCCCCCGAATCTCTGGAGCTCTCAGAGGTGGACTCACTGCCCCACCTGACACCAGCTGATCCAACACCTAGTCTTGAACCCGTGTCCAGACACAGACTCACACCAAGGCCCATTCGACACTGATGCCCAGCAGAGTGGGAGGAATGAGACGACTATATACACACTCTGCACACAGGGGCCGCTGAGAGCTCAGCCACAACACTCATGGAACCTGGCGTGGGAGACCAGTGCCACCCACCTGGCGTGACCTTCCCTGCATCACAGGTCACGCAGAGAGCAAGTCTCACTCACCTCCTTTGAGTATCCATTAGATTCTATGAAATGTGCTTCCTGCCTACGCTACCAACATCTGGTCAGTTGGGCAGTAGATGCACGACTGGCCACTGGTTGCCGACAACCAAGAGTGCACAATTCTCAGTGACTGTGATGTCACAGAATCCTGCCAGCCAATCCCAAGTGGCTCTGCTGTGGCAGGGGTCAGGGTTCTCAGCCCTGGCTTAATTAAAGGTCACCAGAAGTGGGGCCTGTGTTCTCCCCAGGGCCCAGGTGAAGAGGGCAGGGCTCTGGCAGAACTGCCCCAGAACCAGGGGTGCCAGGGCCCTCTGCCACCTGCCATAACGGTCCCAAGTCTCAGGCAACCTGCACCTCCTGCCCCTCATTTCTTCCTCTGCCATTTTATTACAGCCCAACTGTGAAGTCCTCTTTATTTGAACACAAGGTGGAACAGGGTGCCCCATCATGGCCAGTCCTTCTTCCTGAGGTTCCCACACTCGGGGCTGCCCCTGAATGACCTGAACGGAGACTCCCAGGGTTGCAGCCTGCTGTCCTACCACAGGCCTGACCCCAGCACTCCCAACCCCTGCTGACCCCTCCTGCTCTGTTCCAGCCCCTCTTCCCAGGAGTTGTAGGAGGTGGACACAGGGGGTCCTCCTGGGATGGAGGGCAGGGGAGCAGCCCGCCGAGCACCACCTGCATAGGACCTCAAGCTGGCATGGCCCAGACTGTCCAGAGCGGGAACCAGGGCCCTGTCCTAACACTGACCAGGGCTTCAGGCACAGAGTGCTGAGAACTCCTGGGCACCAGCTCCTGAGCCGCATGCTGGTAACACCGGGCTGCTGCTCACCATAAGGACAGGGACAGCACATGTCGGGCAGGAGCAGCCACAGGCCCGCAGCTCCCCAGGGTGCTGATCACCAGGTTGCTCCCTGCAGGGAAAGCGACTCAGCCCTCCCCCAGCACCTCCTTGGTCCTGGGCCCCACACTGCCCCTAGGCTGCCACCTTGGGGCCACAGTCGGTTCTTTTCCCTCAAGGGCCTGTTGTTCTGCCTCTCTGCCCACTTCCCTTGCCCTGGCATGGGGACCACAGTGTCCAGGGCCCTGGTCACCAATACACCTGCTGGCCTCCTCTGCGGGTGGGAACGAGTACACAGCTGTGTCATGTGCAGAGATGCTGTCCAGCAAGACTTGGGTTTTAACTGATTCTGTTATTCCCCTCCCCACTCAGCTTCTCCTCTTTTAAATATCATTGTACATTCTTTTGGAGATTCACAAAGTACTGTAAAATAACACAATGAATGATGATTAGGGATCACCCAGCTTCAGCAGTCAAATATTCTAAATTTTATGGAAGATGCCTATGGGTTTCCTTTCTCTGCCTGGGTTCATTCTCCAGATTCCCTAGGGTTAGTGGTCTCCAGATTGCATTTTTCTCCACTCGGGGTGATGTTTTGCTCTCAAGTCAGACTCAGGAGCCGAGGCTGGGGGTGGATCCCGGGTGGTACAGTATGGGATGAAGGTGTCCCAGTGGTATCTTCCCCACTATGCCTGCCCTGGGGTTGCTATCAGGGACAGGTCTGGTCCTCCTCCAGCCCCATCTCACTTGGGCTCCTGCTGGGTAATGCCGTCTGCCATGAGGCCCTCACCAGAAGCTGGTGCCCGTGCCACACTCTCGGGCTGGTCAAGCCACAAGCTAAAGTGAACTTTCATTTTCTAAGCAACGCAGCTTCAGGTATTTTGCTATTGCCACACAGAGTGGGCCAGGACTTCCCTCCAACTTCAGCAAAGTGCCCTCCAATGTGCTTGAAGGGTTTCTGAGAAAGCCTCTTCCCAGAGTATCAGGTGCTCCTCATTCCGGATTTCAGCAGAGGTCTCCTGAAAGCCCACTCTGGCTTCCTGTGCCACCTAAACACCCAGGCACTGAGTTCTCTTTTAGGGGTAGCTGGGAGTAAAGGCAGAGGCCAGCTCAGCAGCACTGCTCAGGGCATCTGGGAGTCCGGCAGGACTTTGAGTCCCTCCAGTCAACCTCAAGAGAGGGCACGGGACTCATTTGTGTCCTGAGAGACAGGAGATTGGCAGGTGCAGGGAAACACTGAGTCTGCGAATTAGCCGCCACTTCTTACAGGGCGCTCTGGAGCCGCTCCTGCGTTTCAAGTGAGCCATGGGCCCGCGTGCACGGCTGAGAGCTGTAGCTACTTGGCCGCAGAGATCACCTCTGACAGTGGTGCTTAGGGAGTGCAAGGTGAGCCTGCGTGCTAGGGCCCTTCCCACCCACAGCACGTGACCTCAGCACACAGACCAGACCCCTCCAGCGTGCTGCTCCAGCCCTTCCTTGAGAATTGCTCTGAGTCCCAGGGCCAAGGGCTCTGCTCCCGTGGTGTTCACACACAGGCACAGCCACATCGCCCATGGGACCCAGTGTGGGAGACCAGTGTCACCCACCTGGGCAGGACCTTCCCCAAGAGCAAATCCCACTCACCTCCATCGTGAATCCATTGGATTCTGCCAAATGTGCCTCCTGCCTATGCTACCAACACCTGGTCAGTTGGGCAGTAGATGCACTACTGGCCACTTGTCACCTCACAGCCCAGAGTGTGCATCCTCAGTGACTGTGATGTCACAGAAGCCTGCCAGCCAACCCCAAGTGGCTCTGCTGTGGCAGGGGGTCAGGGTCCTCAGTCCTGGCTTTATCAAAAGTCACCACAAGTGGGGCCTGTGTTTTCCCCAGGGCCCAGGTGAAGAGGGCAGGGCTCTGGCAAGGGTGCCATGGAACCAGTGGTGCAATCCAGAGCACCTGCCCCTTTGTGTCAGGCTCCCTCTGGGTTCCTGTGGGGCTGTTTGGTGGGACAACTCAAGGGTTGAACTCTGCAGTCCTGATTTTTTTCATTTTTTCCTGAAGTGGCCAGGGCCCCATAGTAAAGGAGAAGTTCCAGTAGGGAAATCATCTAGAAACTTGGAATGCACAGAGGGAAGATAATACAAATCTCTCAGTGCCAAGTATGTGATGCCATGTATGTGATATAAATTTATAAGGTATTATCGCACATTTCAGAAATATATCACCACACTGTATATTCTAAATGTCTCCTACTGTTCTCGGCTTTCTGATTTCTCAAATACGTCTTCTGTGCTGTCAAATATATTTTAAAAGTAAGTATCTTTTTAATGGCCCAAAGTGGGTCACCTCGACAGAACAGGAGAAAAATCACAATTTCTCCTGGTGCTAACTGCTTTGTACATGCAGAGGTGGCCAGAGAGAGGGAAAAAGGAGACTGCTCTTTTCCAGGTTGTGATGTAGGAGGGGTGAGGTTGACAAGGTGCATGGGCCCAGATGCTACCTGCAAATCTGGCTCCATGGTACCTTCAGGAGGGAAGAGAAAGGGGTGTGGTCTCTGCTGTCGGGGTGGGAGAGGACAGAGGGAAGGGTACCGCGTGTAGCATGGACCCTGTCTGGGCTATCCTATTTACTCCTCCTCGGGTCCCTGGGGGTGGCATTTTATCTTTGATCTGCCGACCAAGAATCAGGCCCAGGGCCAGGTAATGCACTGAGGGTCATTGCTTGGGCCTGGAGCCCAGGTGTCTGGGGTTCCACACCCAGCACTGCCAGCAGGGGATGCGAGGGTGGCCCTGTGTGTTTGCCCAGGGTGTGCCTGTAGGAGAGGCTGTTCTGAGTGTCCCTTTGGAGATAGTGGCCCTGTGACCTGAGCTCCTGCCCTAGCCAGCTGTTTGTCATCAGCACCTACCCTGGCAGGAGCTCAGCCTGCAGTCTTTCCTAAACATTTGCTTGAGGGGAGAGATGCCAGGGCCCATGCTGTGTCTTTCTTTCGCCAGCTCCCTTCTCTGCCCTTGTACACACAGCTGTCTATCAGAAGGGTGTTGAGTCAAGGCCAAGACCAAGGCTGTATTGCCCTGTTCACCTGTCAATCAGGGGTCCTCTCCCCAGGAAGTACTGCCTCTTATCCAGGACATTGGGGTGGTACCATGTAAACACTTCCGTTTTTTCGAAAGCTCATAAAAAGTGAGGAAGGACGGAAGCGCTCTCTCCTCGCAGACTCAGGACAAGCAGAGCAGGGTATGATGACTCCCTTCCCTTAGCCCATTCTCCATTAATAAAGCCCTAATGGGCCTGTGTATTTTTCTCACTTTGTAACTAAAGTTTACCACACTGCAGGCTGTGTTTGGGCCTGTATTTAGAATTCTTCTCTAAGTTAAAGGCAAGAGTCTGGAAAATTAATTTAGGCCGAGACCCAGCCCATAACATTCCCAGTCCCAGACTGACCCACTCAGGAGTCGGGTCAGGTCCGTGGATCCCACCATTTTGGGAGACGCCCATGCTTTCACTGGAAGGGTCTCTGCCAGGACAGCTTCCCTGCAAGCCTGGGGCCCTGGTCCCATGCTCCCCTCACTGTCCGCAGGAGCTGTTGGGAAGCTGCTTTCCCAACCCCTCGGGCCGGAGCTGCCCTCCAGCTGTTGTCTCCAACTCCCAGGCCAGGCCCACACAGCTGGGGGTCAGGTTGGTTCTGACCTGCTAACTGTTAGCAGTGCGGTTTGTTCAGAACCAGTACTGCCCAGGCTGCAGGCGGGAGCCACAGCGGCACTTGGAAAGTTCCTGGAAAGTGGAATTGAAAGATGGGTTGCTTTTGTGTGGGGGGAAAAATCTTTGTAATCAGTGCATACAAGGGGTCTACAGAACATTCTTGGAAATGTATATTATGAAAAAAAGTGCATGGACTTCAGGTTTTTTTTTTTTTCTTAACCAAAATGAACTTGTCATTGAATTCTGTTTTTCGTGAACTTGAATTACCCTCGTATTTTTGGTATCACTCACATGCACACTGTGGCTCCACAATGATTCATTTGTTGCTGCTGTTGCTGTGTTCAGCTGTGTCCTGTGATAAGATGCTATCCACCTGCCCCTGAGGAACAGGCTGGAACCCTGTCTATGAGCATCACAGTCATTATCAGGGCCTGCTGCATGCCCTGTGCTCGTTAGAGGCACTGCCTGCTATGGAACTGATTTAAGCATCATGCCTGTGATGATCCCCTTTTGCAGAGGAGAGAATGGCTCAAGGCCATTAAGCTGAGTTTTGAAAGGCGAAGGATTCAAACCCTGGCTGTCTTACTCCAAGGCCAGGACTTCTAAGTGCCTTAACACCTTGCACATCAGTGCTGCTCTCTCTCTCCTGGAGCTTGCATGGAGACTCTGATCCAGAGCAGCCTCTCAAAGGCTGAGAGGTGGAGTGACATAGACATGCTTTGAAACCGTCAGCCTTGTGGCTGTGGGTCTCACTTCACCCATCTATAAAATGGGTGTAATGATTGCTTCTCTCTGGCATTGCTTGGGAAATAACAAATACTGAGTGTAGAGCCTGGATAAGTCTGTTGTGAATGCCCCGTAGCTGAAAACTGCTCTCACTGGGGAAGCACAGGGCCTGTGGCCTTGGGACCCAGTCCCAAGCAAATGCCACAGAAATGCCTCTCCCTCATAATCATTGTCCCACGGCTGTGATGGATAGCTCAGAAAAGCAGTATTGCTGACAGCCTTTTCTGTATGGCCCCTCGTGAGAATCTCTGGCTTCCTCCATTGGCTTCTGCCTGTGCTCAGCCAGCTGGACCACAGCCAGGTGTTGGGGAGTCAGGAGGGATTAGCCACAGGCCTGTTCCAGATGCAGAAGGTTATTACATGCATGGTCTCCAATGAGTCACATCTGCCCATGTCGACTTTGGGCCAGGCCCATGATTTTGCTTTGGCCAAGGGCACACCAATCAATGTGATGTGGGTAGAGGCTGGACGGGTATGCACGCATTACAGTGTGAGGCCGGCCAAGACCACATGGAGGAGCCACTGAAGCACCCAACTGTCCAGCCATGATCACCAGACACTCAAGTGAGGCCATCAAGGTGCGCACCAATCCCCAGTTGACCTCCCATGACCACAGGTGCAGGGCACTTTCTGCCCTGGCAGTGGAGCTGTGCTGGGGTTGCCTCCACGTGTGCTGGAGGGCCTGGCTGTCAGGGTGCTTCCTCACTACTCACCTCCTAAGGAGAGGGATGCTTCTGGTCTGCAGTGTTTTT